GCAGTAGTCGTCGTAGTCGCCGTAGTAGTAGTAGTAGTAGTAGTAGTAGTAGTCGTCGTCGTCGCCGCAGTGGGAATAGCAACAGTAATGAGCAGCAGTAGTGGTAGTAGTAGCAGTGGTGGTAGTAGAAGTAGTACCAGTGGTAGTGGCAGTAGTAGTAGTAGTACTCGTATTACTCGCAGTAGTGGTAGCAGTAGTAGTAGTAGTAGTAGTAGTAGTGGCAGTAGTGGTAGTTGCAGTAGCAGTAGCAGTAGTAGTAGTAGTAGTAGTAGTAGCTGTTATAGTCGTAGCCGTAGGTTTAGTAATCGTAGTCGCAGTAGTAGTAGTAGTAGTAGTAGTAGTAGAAGTAGTAGAAGTAGTAGAAGTAGAAGTAGAAGTAGAAGTAATGTAGCAGTAGTAGTAGTAGTCGTAGTAGTAGTAGTAGTAGTAGTAGTAGTAGTAGTAGAAGTAGTAGAAGTAGTAGTAGTAGTAATAACTTAGTAGTAGTACTTGGGTCACTTCCCCCCATGTCTTGCGACGCACCACCGTCGCGCAATTTAGATTGTAAGGCGCTATTATTTGGTTAAAACCGGATAATTCAACAAAGCGTCAGTTTTACAACCTACGTTCGTGTCGGTCACATCACACCACACTTTCGTGTACCATTCATTCTTTGGCAATCGAAATAAGCTTTTTAATTAACAATAAATACCAAAAACGGCAGTTTCACACCGCGCCTCCGTGTCGCAGCATCTATGGTATGTTTCCAATAGCATTACAGTGGGCGCTTGGGGTAACCTCTCCCGTTGCCCACCAAGACCGCCAACATTCCGACCGACGCCCTCACGGCACCCCCAGGATTCCTCAGGATCCTGACGGATCCTAAGGAATTCCGATGAGCCATGGCGGGTTTCGACGGATGTTGAAGGATCCTGAGGGTTACTGCAGGTCTTGAGGGATTTCGAGGGATCCTTAAGAGGCCCTGTTAGGAATCCGGGAAATTGCGTGATCCAGAGTAATTCATCGGTTCTCATGTCAGGTATCTGGCAAGTGGTCGGATCCCTACGAATTTCTTGGCTTCCTTCGGAGGTCTTCACAGGAATCTGGGACTTGCCAAGGTCCTTCGGAATTCTTAGAATCCTTCAGACGTCCTCTCAGGAATCTGGCAATGTGTAGGACGCTTGTTTTTTTTCCCGATTCCTGGGTGTTGGTCGGATCCTTTGGAATACTGTGGGTTCCCCAAGAGGCCTCTCAGGAATCTGGAAATTGGTAGGATCCGTCGGGATGCCTAGGATTCCTTCGGATGCCCCCACAAGAATCTGGGAATAGGTGGGGTCCTGAAGAATTCCCAGGATTCCCTAGGAGGCACTTTCAAGAATCTGGCAAGTGGTATAATGCTGAGGAATTCCCCGGATTCCCTTGGGGCCCGTCTTGTTTCACACCCCACCTTCGTGTGCTATTCTTTTGTCTTGCGTCTACAGCAGTTTGATTGGGGAAGTAATCAGAATTTGTTCTTTTCACACCTCACACTCGCGTCGCCGAAGAATCCCATTCTTTATTTCATTGCAATCGGATTCCAGTGTATTCGTATTGTTGTCGACGTCTAGTGTATTCGTACTGTATTCGATCGCTTGTGTAGTCGTATTGAATTCGAGGCCCATTGCATCCGTAGTGTATCCGAATGTAGTGTGTACATATTGTCTTCGAATTCAATTGCGAATTTATATTTAGTCCCCAATTCTATATTCGGATTCTGTTATATGCGCACACGCGAACCCCGAACCAGAACCTTTAATCCTCACCCTTACCCTCACCTGCTCATTTTGAAGAAAAGCGAAGGTGACGTGCGGCCCGAGTACGTGTAGTAGTAGTAGTAGTAGTAGTAGTAGTAGCAGTAGTGGTAGTGGTAGTAGTAGTAGTAGTAGTAGTAGTAGTAGTAGTCGTAGTAGTAGCAGTAGTGATAGTAGTAGTAGTCGTAGCATCAGCAGTGGTAGCAGTAGTCGTCGTAGTAGTAGTAGTAGTAGTAGAAGCAGTAGCAGTAGTAGTAGTAGTAGTAGTAGTAGTAGCCGCCGTCGTAGTAGTAGTGGTCGGAGTAGTAGCCGTAGTAGTAGTAGTAGTAGTAGTAGTAGTAGTAGTAGTAGTAGTAGTAGTAGTAGTAGTGGTAGTGGTAGTAGTAGTAGTAGTAGTAGTAGTAGTCGTAGTAGTAGTAGTACTAGTAGTAGGCGCAGTAGTAGCAGTAGTAGTACCAGTACTCGTAGTAGTAGTAGTAGTAGTCGTAGTTGGTGTACTAGTAGTAGTGGTTGTAGTAGTAGTAGTAGTAGTAGTCGTCGTAGCAGGTGTAGTCGTAGTAGTAGACGTAGTCGTAGTCGTAGACGTAGTGGTAGTCTTGGTTGTCGTGGTAGTAGTAGTAGTAGTTAGTAGTAGTAGTAGTAGTAGTAGTAGTAGTAGTAGTAGTAGTAGTAGTAGTAGTAGTAGTAGTAGTAGTAGTAGTAGTAGTAGTAGTAGTAGTAGTAGTAGTAGTAGTAGTAGTAGTAGTAGTAGTAGTAGTAGTAGTAGTAGTAGTAGTAGTAGTAGTAGTAGTAGTAGTAGTAGTAGTAGTAGTAGTAGTAGTAGTAGTAGTAGTAGTAGTAGTAGTCGTCGTCGTCGGCGTCGTCGTCGCCGTAGCAGGTGTAGTAGAGGCAGTCGCCGTCGTAGTAGTAGTAGTACTAGTAGTAGTCGTAGTAATACCAGTTGTTGCTGCAGCTGTATTCGTAGTAGTAGTAGTAGTAGTAGTAGTAGTAGTAGGTAGTAGGTAGTAGGTAGTAGGTAGTAGGTAGTAGTAGTCGTAGTTGTAGGTCCGTAGTAGTAGTAGTAGTAGTAGTAGTAGTAGTAGTAGGAGTGGTAGTAGTAGTAGTAGTAGTAGTAGTAGTAGTAGTAGTAGTGGTAGTAATAGTAGTAGTAGTAATAGTAGAAGTAGTAGTAGTCGTCGTAGTAGTCGTAGTAGTCGTAGTAGTAGTAGTAGTAGTCGTAGTAGTAGTAGTAGTAGTAGTAGTAGTAGTAGTAGTAGTAGTAGTGGTAGCAGTAGTGGTAGTAGTAGTAGTAGTAGCAGTAGTAGTAGTAGTAGTAGTAGTAGTAGTAGGAGTAGTAGTAGTAGTAGTAGTAGTAGTAGTAGTCGTAGTAGTAGTAGCAGTAGTAGTAGTAGTAGTAGTAGTAGTAGTGGTCGTAATCGTAGTAGTTGTAGTAGTAGTCTTAGTCGTAGGTAGTACAAGTAGTGATAATAGTAGTAAGATTAGCACTACTACTGCTAGTGATAGTAGCAGTCGTAGCCCGCGCATGCTCGCGCGCGCAGTGGTCTGCTACTTTTGCGCCATCGAAGCGGCCGCGGCGGACCCGGCCACTGGGCCGTTCCCAGCGGGCACTTCAGTGCGAGTCGGTGACTTGGGCGGGCTCGGTATCATGGCAGCGTCGAAGCTGGTAGACGCGATGCTGACAGGGTCGATGCTGGTGGCGATGGCGATGGTGGTAACGACGACGGCAAAGCCAGTGACGGCGCTGATGCCGATCACGCCGACGACCCTCACGGCGTCTTTGCGTCGGTATGAAGGTTTTGGAAGGAGCCGACGCGAGCGAGTGGCCCGCTTTGTATCATTTGACAGGGGCCGTGCCTCCCCAGCACACGCGCAAGGGCGTCCGAATGATTTCGACATACGGCGGGAGAGGCCCGTGTGGCCCAATCTGATAAACATGTTTGAGCACCCATGGTTGTGCCTAAGAGTTGGCCAGAGCGCGAGCGCAGACTTCTTGAAAACTGATGTTGCAAAACCGTGTGCACTTTCGGGACATTCGATTTGGATGGTTGCAACGAAACGGAAGGTTTCTGACTGACTCCAGCACGCGCGCGCGGGACGCGCGCGTGTGCACTTCGTTTGGTGTGTTGCAAAGGCTTCTTGCGGCAGCACGCGCGCAAGGGCGCTTGAACGTTGCCACGCGCGGGCGCGAGGCACGTGTGGTAGCACTTGGTGGAAACAGTGGAGAAACAACGAATGGTCTTCATATGGGCCCACAAGAGCGCGAACGCATTTTTATACATAAGAATTCAGGAATTCAGTTGTCACTCATCAAACAAAGGCGGGGCGTTCGATTGCAAACATCTTATGCGACCTAGAGTGTTTGAATGATTTCGACCAGCGCGCGCGACGACGCACGTGTGTGCAGTTTTGTATAGTTTTTGCCAAGGGTGCTTCGAACTGTTTTTTTTTTGGGGGGGGGAAAGTGCGCGCGTCGTCTTTTTTCCAGAGGATGAGGGGGGAGCGATCAGGGCCTGCCTGGGATGGAAGAATTCACATCTAGGATGGACACTCAGGCATAATCGCGTGCCACTTGCAGCGCGAACAAGCGCTACGTTAAATCGGGGGGGTTCTATAGACAGGACAAACATTGCAAAACAGTGCGAAACAACGCCGAGCAACGCAACGCAAAACAACGCAAAACACAGCAAAACAATGCAAATCAATGGAAAACCATGAAAGGTAACGCAAACCAGTGCCAAATACTACGCATGCAAAGCAATGCCAAGCAATGCAATTCAACACAGAGCAGCCCAACGCAAAAAGCAACGCAAAGCAATGCAAGGCGAAGCAGCGCGAAGCAATGCCATGCAGCGCAAACAACTGTGAAGCAGTGTAACGCAATACGTCGCAATGGCAAGCAACGCAAGGCAACGCAAAGCAACGCAAATGAACGCAACGCAAAGCAACGCAAAGAAAAGGCAACGCACGAGCCTCGCACACTCAAGTTCGTCACCGAACACGGCGGCGCCGGGCGGCGACGGGCGCCCACAAGCCGGCCAGACCGACACCAGATCCAGTTCCAGAGAGGGGAACCAAACACCCGGAAGTGCAAACACCGTGTGAGGAACCACACGAGAGCGAGAGCGAGAGAGAGAGAGAGATAGGGAAAGACAGAAAGATACCCGGAGATCAGATCTGACCGCCCCGTGGTCGCGCAGGCCCGAACGAGGGGGGGCGGGGGGCGCGCCCCAGGTACGGCCGTGCAGTCCTGGCCGTGGAGGCGCCGCCGTCGCAGCCGATGCCGGCGAGCAAGACCTCTGGCCTTCTTGGCGGGGCGCCCAGACGCCACCACCGCCCTCCTTCTCTTCCGCAGTCCTCCACAGTCATTTCAACCTCCATGGCTTCATGAGCGCGTTTCTTTCTTACTTGGGGCATGACGGACGTCATGGCCCCCAGCCCCCCCTCCCTTTGACGTAACGCCCCCCCCCCCCAGAGCGTTCCGGGCGCTGTCGCCGTGCGCGTCGTGATCCGCATAGGTGTCCGCAAGAATCCGCATACGAGTTGGGTCCGCACTCGTCGTCGTCGTCGTCGTCGTCGTCGTCGTCGTCGTCGTCTTCGTCGCCGTCGTCGTCGTCGTCATCGTCAACGTCATCGTCGTCGTTGTCGCCGCAGTCGTCGTCGTTGTCGTCGTCGTCGTTGTCGCTCGTCGCTCGTCGCTAATAGTCGTCATGCGCGCGGACGTAGCTGGAGCCTGTTTTTGTTTGCCGGGCCGATGACGGCAATCATCTGGGGGGCGGTGGAGGGGGCCGATGACGTCACGTTTCGCGCTGGCGGCGTTTGGGAATGCCCAGGAATGACCGAGGACGGGTAGCAGCAGCATGTCGGTGGCGAGCTGCGCCACAACGACTGTGTACACCACAGTGCCTGCGCGCACCACAGCGCCTGTGTACACCACACCGCCTATGTACACCACAGCGCCCGCGTGCAACACAGCGCAAGTGTGTGCGACAGTGCCTGCTGGCACCACAGCACTTGTGTACACCACAGCGCCTGCGCTTGCGTACACCACATCAGCCGTGTGCAACACAGCACCAGTGTACACCACAGTGCCTGCGTGCACTGCATACAGCGCCTGTGTACACCACGGCGCCTGTGTGCACCACAGCAACTGTGCGCAACAAAGCACCATTGTTGTATATAGCATTTTGTATGGAAGCCTTATGACAAATTGGAACGTGGATTCAAAAGACACATGTTTTATATAGGATTTGGAGAGAGTCCTTATAGAAAAAGGAGCGCCGCTGGAATCTACGAGTCCTCTGGAGTCCGCCCGCATCATCATAATTCCTCCCATCTGCGTCCAGGAGACTCCAGCTAAATTGGCTGTCCGGGAACCAAGTGGACTGATCTAATAGACCATTCTGCGGTGCATGCTGAGATGCGCACGTGCGTTGTAGCGCCGACCCGCACGACAGGGGGGAAGGGTGAGGTGGGAAGAGGAGGAGGACGAGGAGGAGGAGGAGGCGAAGGACGAGGAGGAGGAGGAGGCGGGGGTGGAGGAGGGAGGAGGGAAATACGTCGCATTCCATTCTCAGCAATTCCCTGGCGTGGCGTTTAGCTGTCCGCAGCAGATCCTCACCGACATGCTCCTTTTACCTGCCCTGTGCACGCAGGCACTCTGGTGTACACCAGCGCTGCGTTGCACGCGAGTGCTGTGGTGTAGACAGGCGTTGTGGTGTGCATAAGCGCTGCGGTGTACGTAAGCATTGTGCTGTAGACAGGCGCTGTGTTGCACATGGCTGCTGCTGTGTACACATTCGCTGTGGTGTACACCAGCGCTGTGGTGCACGCAAGCACTGTGGTGTGCACGGGACACACGCGCTGCGTTGCACACGGCTGTTGCGGTGTACGCAGGCGCTGTGGTGTACACAAGCGCTGTGGTGCACGCGAGCACTGTGGTGTACACAGGCGCTGTGGGGCAGATCGCCACCTACATGCTGCTCGCGTCGTCGTCGTCGTCGGCGTCGTCGCTCGTCGCTCCTCGTTCGTCGCTCGTCGCTCATCGTTGTCGTGCGCGCGGGCGCGGCTGTGGTGCTGGAGCCACACGGCGGGGTGGGGGGGGGGGGGCGTCACGTCATACCCCCCTCCCCCCCCAATGACGCCAGTCATCGCCGATGATAAAGAAACGCGCTCCATCGTGCTCCTACTGCTGCCTGCTGCCGTTCGGGATGCGCCTCAGATGCGCCGTGCCTGGCCCTCTCTTCCTGCTCTTCCGCCTCATTCTCATTCTCCTCTTCCTCCTCCTCCTCCTCCTCCTCTTCCTCCTCTTCCTCCTCATCTTCCTCACCCTCCCTTGTTCTCCTCGGGGCCTCCTCCCCACCATTCTCTCGTTCCCTTCCTGTCACCCCTTCAGATCCTTGGCCTCCCGCGTCCCGCTGCCTCAGGCGTTGTCAGCTCAGACGGTCCGATGTTTGTCGACCGCCCGATTGCCGTCATGACAGGCAGAGGATAAGAATAAGGAGACGATAACAGGGAAAGAGGAGGAGGAGGAGAAGGAGGAGGAGGGAAGCATGGTGCTGCTCTGCCAAAGCGAGCTGGGCCGAACTGTGGTTCCAGGTTTGGACTTGCATCGGTGACTGGGGTGGCGTGGGCGCCATCGAGCTTCGCAAAGCCAAAGCTCACTGCACGGATGCTATAATTCAGCTAAGACTTGAGAGGGAGGGCAGCGGCCATGAATGCCGACGATTGGGCCCAGTGGGTGGTTCAACGCGCCTGAGTGTTCGAGACGGCCCGACTGGCTCGCAAGGCTAAGGCTGCGGTCCTTCGGCGCTGGGCCCGGTGGGTTGCTCGCATCGTGCCCCGTATGTGCGATCTTGACTGCATGCACGTCCCCACGAAGCCGCGGTCGGGGGCGGCAACGAGGGGGGTGATGACAAGGGGGGGGTGATATCATGGCGGGGGCCATGATATTTCCCCAGATTTCATGACGCCTCTTCTTATTTCATTACGTCCCTGGTCCCCCCGCTGGGCCGCGCACATGCCGCTGGTCATGATTTCCCCCCCCCCTCTTGGACACCCCCCTCTTTGCCGCTCCCGACGCGGAGCAACAGCAGCACGAAACCTCACCTGCCGCGCCTCGCTGTCTCGCCGCCGCCGCCGCCGCCTGTCTGCCCTCTGGCCTTTCTCGTGCGGACCTCGCCTGCATATTGTGCATCCGTTCGCCGTCACTGCGGAAAGGAGGTGGGGGGCGGTGTATCTGGCGTGTGGTGTTTGTGTGTGTGTGTATCTGGCGTGTGGTGTTTGTGTGTGTGTGTGTGAGTGTGTGTGTGTGTGTGTGCGCGCGTTTGTTGTGTGTGTGTTGCCTTGGAGGGATGAAGAGTTCTGCGAATCTCTTTCACGGATGTGCTGGCCCACCGCTCCCCCAGGAAGCTAGGGGGAGCGGGTACCAGCGGATCTCAAGCGTGTTCCCGTACGCTTCTTCAGACGCAAACAAGACTTGGCATCGGCTCGTCGAGCCCGCGCGGGGGGTGGCTCCGCGAATCTCTTGCAGGGATGTGCTGGCCCACCGCCCCCCAGGGAGCTGGGGAACGCGGGTGCTAGCTGATCTCAAGCGTGCTCCCGTACGCTTCTTCAGACGCAAGCAAGACGTTCCAAGGATGAGTCGAAGCGCCGAGACCTGTGGGCCCGCGAGGCGCGGGCGTGAGGGGCGGAAGGCCGGGGCGGCACCGCTCAGGCAGAGCAGGACGAGAGCGGCCGAGGAAGGGCGGCGGACGGGCGGGAAAGACGAGCGCACGGAACCTCGACCCGCTCGGCTCGTCGAGACCCTCCGCGCGGTGGAGGTGATCCGAGCAGGCCGAGTCCAGCGTCGCCGGGGCGCGCTGCAGTCGGAGGCGTTGCGCACCTCCGCCCCTCCCGTGGGCACGCGGTGGCGCAGGTGGCTCGTGGCGCGAGCGATGCTGCGTTCGAGTCGGATCTTGCTGGGTTTGTCGAGGAGGAGGAGGACGAGGAGGCGGAGGAGGAGGAGGAGGAGGAGGAGGAGGAGGAGGAGGAGGAGGAGGAGGAGGAGGAGGAGAGGCGGCCGAGAGAGGTCATAGAAGTTCGTGGGGAGGAGGAGGAAAACGAGGTAAAGGAGAAGCAGGAGGAGGATAAGGAGGAGGATTTGGAAGAAGGGGAGGAGGAGGAGGAGGAGGAGGAGGAGGAGGATGAGGACGAGGAGGATGACGAGGAGGAGTAGGAGGTGAGGTCGCGTTGGCGGCGAGTTCGGGCCGACAGATCAGATGCAGGGTTCACCCCCGCGAGTACGCACATACCTGCATGGACGCAAGCCCAAACCTTCGCCCGGGGCCTTCCAGGCGCGTGCCACTTTGGCCACAGACTTTTAGCTGGGGGGGAGGAGGGGGGACGGTTGCCGCGCTGCCCTGGACGCCGCTTTCTTTGCCCGAGGCCCCACCACCCTTCGGAGACGAGGGACGGGGGCAAAGAGAGACAGCCAACTGAGACTATTTTGTGGAAGGGGCATCATGGGGGCTCTGGGTAGTGGTGGATGTCGTGGTGGTGGTTGGTAACTATTCTAAAGGCGAGCTCGTGTGGGTAGGTCGTAGGTTCGTCGTCCCCCCTGTTGTAGGTAGCCAGCGCACCGCAAAAGAAGCTGCATGTCCACTTACACGCGCACGATTCATGCAATGCACCCGGCGCGACCTCAAGGAGGGGAGTTCTTCCTTAGCGGCATTGTTTGGCGTTGTTTGTCATCGTTGGGCTTTGCTTGGTATGTCCGTAATTACGTTGCTTGGCGTCGGTTGCCACTGCTTGGCATTTCGTGCGTTGTTTGGCGTTATACGGCATTGCTCGGTATTGCGTGATGTTGCTTGGTGTTTTTTGGTGTTGCTTGGTGTTGTTCGGTGCTGCGTATCTTTGCTTGGCAGAGACAATACGAAGCAAGCTGGGGAGCACGACAAGGGCCTTGCCAATACCAGCAGGGAAGCAAGACCAAGGAACCTTGGGCACTCAAGGAAGGCCTTTTCAAAAACACAAAGGGGCAACTACATCGAGGATCCCCTGGGAACCCCTGTGCAGAGGAAACGAGATCGAGGAACCCTGGGGAGCCCCAGCGCGGCTGCGTCCGTCACCCACGGGCGTCTTCGCAAACAATTGCGTCCCCGTGGGGCAGAGCTGAATTGGGCAACGAGGCATTGCATCTCTGGGCCCGGCTCGTCGGGGCTCATCTCCCCCTGGGGTGGCCAGTGAGCCCAGGGGTGCTCCTCTTTGAGGTGGTCCTTTGTGCATCACAGCCCTGGTGTGAAACAATACCCTCGGACGGCATCCACAATCGTGCTTTCTGGTAGAGCGAGGAACTGCACCTGCTACTTCCGCTGCTGCTGGTCGGTGTTGCTTCGATCACCACGGGCAACTTGGTTTTCTGAGCTCCGTTGTTCTGCGACTTCTTGGGGAAGTCAACCCACTTCGACGGGTCCTTGACCTGCCAGCCGAAGAATATCCACGTCTCTGGCTTGCTTTCATCCCACTGCTCCCATGCGGAGGTCAGTCCGTTGGTTGTCTCAGTGGCCCTCTTCGAGTAGTTGATCCCGCTTGGATTCGTCCTGACTGTCCAGCCGCATGAGATCCGCGTGATAAGGGGCACTTCCGCTTTACACCACGCCGAGGAGCCCCCAAGCTCCAGGGAGACCCCCTGGTGCTCCCCAGCCGGCCGGCCAGGCGACGCGAAGCGAGACGCGCGGCACCGCCCCCTGGGCCTGCGCGCGTAGAGGGAAGAGAAAATGGAGGATAAGGTGTCCGCGAAAACCGCGCTTCCCGAAAGCAAAGACAGGTAAGAAGCAACGCTTCGCACTCCCCATGAGGAGTGGGCTGCTCTCGTCCTTCTGGGCGGTCATCTTGAAATTGAACTCACTCTCTATGGTGTCCGCGAAAACCGCGCTCCCCGAAAGCAGAGCCTCCTAAGAAGCAACGCTTCGCACTCCCCCAGAGGAGTGGGCTGCTCTCGTCCTTCTGGGTGGCCATCTTGCACTTGAGCTCGCTCTTCATGTCTGGCCGTGCAGTCCTTAACTCGTGCCGGTGCCCTGTTTTTTCGGACCGGGTTGTCCAGCAGCCCCTTGATCTTAAGTCGGGCTTGTCCCTCTACAGGGGGAAAATTCAAATGTAGTTTAAAAACATAGTCTGGGGACGATGTTTTTTTTGTGTGTGTGGTTATTTTTGTGCTAAGCGCACTGCCTCATCTAACGGCCGAGGCCCCGCCGCGCCGCCCTTCACAGGGCCGGATTCCTGGATCCGTTGGTTGCGCGCTCTCTCTCTCTTGGTCTCGACGATGCGGTTCTCGATCGCCTCGGAGGTCCATCGGGGCGGCTAAGAGAGGGGTGGGGGAATATCATGGCGTGGGCCATGATATTTCCTCAGATTTCATGGCGCCGCTTCTCCTTTCATTGCGTTCGTGGCCCCCCCCCCCCCCCCGGGGCCGCGCGCATGCCGCCGGCCACGATTTGCGCCTCCCCCGTCTTGGGCGCAACCTCCCTGGCCGCCACCGAGTCCGCTCCTGGCTCCGGAGCTGCTGCACGCAGCCTCCGAGGTCCGTCGTGGCGGCTCTGGCCGTGCGCTCTCCTCCGCCCGGCAGCGCCCGATGGGGCTGCTCGTGTGGCGGCCCTTCTCGTGCACTGTGGTCTGCACGGTGGCTTCGTTTGGGCGGCCTGGCGGTCTTCTTGGCCACGGCTGCAATGTCCGCGAGGTGTGCCCTCGCTTGCTTCGTGTAGCACTCGCCGTTGGTTGCCAGCTCCCTTCTCCTCGGTGTTCACTTCGTCGGCTAGCCTGGCAACCCGCTCCGACGCATCCAGCAGGCCCTCGCTATACTGAGGAGGCTGGCGATAACTGTGAGCCGCAGAAGGTGCGAGCCACGTGTCAGTATGGAGGAGGCGGACGAGGGGGGGAGGCGGAGGAGGAAGATGTTAGGACTTTGAGGGCGGCAAAAACGAGCAACGAGTAGCAGAGAGCAGTTCAGATAGCATCAGAGAGCAGCACAGAGTAGCACAGCGCTGCAGTGAGCGGCACCTATGATCCGTAAGGGTTTCGCCCCCATGCCGCCGGCCCCCCTTTCTTAGAATGGGACTTGCCAGAGCTGCGTTGGGATGTCTGGACGCTGACGTGAAGCAATGCCGGGACTTCACGCGGGGGCCAATATTAACTAACGCGGGTTTATGGCGTCGGCAGTGGCGCGAATTTTTTGTATTTTAATTATACAATGGTTGATGGCTTCGGGGACGTGAGTATTGCGTACTTTAGGAGGGTTTGTGGCCTCGGGGACGCAACGACTGCGTAATTTACATGGGTTTATGGCTTCGGGGGTGCAACTATTTCGTTATTTACAATGGTTTATGGCCTCGGGGACGCGAATATTATGAATGCGCGACGGTTTGTGGCCTCGGGGACGCAAGAAAGGTGTGATTTTCGAGGGATTCTGGCCCTGGGGACGCGCACATTTTGTAACGTTCGAAGGTTTATGGTTTCGGGGGCGCAGACATGATGTAATTTACGTGGGTATGGTCTCGGGGGCGCGAATCTTGTATACTTTACTGAGGCTTGTGGCTTCAGAGATGCGACTATTATTTAATCTGCGATGGATTATGGTTTCGGGAACCGAATATTGCACAATTTACAAAAAAAAAAGGTGTATGGCCTCTGGGGCGCGAATATGGAGTAAGTGACGATGGGTTATGGCTTCGGGGACGCGAATATCAAGTATTCTTACGTGTCCCACGCTCCCGCCAGGAATTCAGACAACGCGATCTGGGCGTGGTTAAAAAAAGCTGGTTTGGGGCTCCCCCCCTCGCGCGTTCAGCAACAAGTAACAGTAAGGAAGCAACACACAGGACTGTAACAGTGGAAACTGGAAACTGCAACTGGAACAGGGAGCTGCACTCCTCCCCCTCGCAGCCTGGTGGCCCCGCAAGGGGACCTGCGGATAGCCGATGGCGGCAGGATGTAACAGAAAGCAGCTCTCGCACTCGGCTTCGCTCTCACTCAGTCGCACTCAGGCTCAAGCTCGTTCACGCTCAGACACTCGCAGAGGAGCAAGGACACTGCAAGAACTTGATATGAAAACGGGGGGTCGTAGCAATGGAATCTTCCCCGTGGAAGACTTTTCCGTTCGACCTTTCATTGCCATTGTTTCGCTTCGCCATTCTTTCTAATCCTTTTCCTGGCTCGGCCGCTCCATCGTGGGATCCCCTTTTTTTGTTGGGGAGCCATCGCCTTTTCACAACGAGTCGCGATGTTCTTATGGAAAAGCATCGTGAAACAGGGAGCCACCCGCTCCTTCGTGCAAGCGTTGGTGACTCACCGGGCGAGTGCGTGCGGCGAGATGACGGCGCCTTCACTTTGAAGAGCCGCGTTCCATCCGCGAAGCCGCGGGAACTGCTCAAACGAGTGTGCGTGGCGCTAAGGCCAGAGCGACACATTGAACACGTTCCGCCCTCCCCTTGTGCAGTTGTTGGCAAGTTCTTGTTTTCATGCTGTCTTTTTCCAGCATGCGCCCCCCCCCCACACACACACACACACACACACACACACACACACACACACACACACACACACACACACACACACACACACACACACACACACACACACACACACACACACACACACACACACACACACACACACACACACACACACACACACACACACACACACACACACACACACACACAGAGTTCTTGCAGCGTGGGGGTGGCATGGGAGCTGTGCGGAGTGAGCTCTGTGGGGCTTGGTTGTGTTGTGTAAGCTGTGCGTTGTGAGATGTGAAGTCCAAACTCTGTGGTGTGAGCTGTGCGGCGTGAGCTGGGCAGGCTCAGCTGCGCGGTGCTGCGTGGTGTGTGTCCCACGT